TGGCCTCCAACCTGCTAGAGATGGCCTCCAACCTACTAGAGATGGCCTCCAACCTAGTAGAGATGGCTCAAAATGAGAGATCAACCATAGGTGAAAACAAAAGAACACAAAACAAAGGACACGGGGTTATCAGAATCAGTTTGAAGGGACGGTTCACGCTCTTTTCCTCTTGCATCCCGAATGAGGTCTTGAGCCTTCATGTATGACAGTATGTTTACCCAGCCCCAGGAGTTGCTGGCAGAGCATCATCATGCCGCCCCCGCTCCCCCATGTTCCTTGATCTACTGCAATCAGCTACAACTGCTTGCACACATGGATTCGAGTTGTCTTCACTCCGCGGAGCAGGTTTCTAAGCTGAGAAGTGCACTTTTTGCCGCAAGGCTGCTTGCTCCAAGTTCATCACCTTCAACTCTGAGAGATGCATCGACTCCCTGTCGCACGCCCAGCTTTGTCGGGCCTCCTCCATAAATGCCTTCCTCCTAAGGCAGCATTGCAATTAGGAAAATCATTTGCCAAATGAGCCCCGTTCGTAGCGTCCTTGTTCCTAGTACGGCCAGGAGCGCTCCTAATTAGAAGCGTCCGATCGCTCCTAGTAGTGATGCCCTTTGTTCCTAGTTTCTTGTTCTACAAAAAGAACACCACCAACACATCTCATGTAGAAACCACTGCCGAATACTCTGCTTCATAATCTTCCATGCCCCGCTCCTCTGTTTCAATGACGTGCCTTCGTTGTAAAGCCGCCCAGCACCTCCATTTAGCAGCATTCAAGGCCATCAGACCCATCAAACCCATCAGACTCATCAGTAGGCAGTATAACCGTAAAGCAAACAGTCCAAAACATCACGAAACAATCTGTTTTTTTGATGAGAGAAACACCATCTGAGTGAACCGCCGCATCGGCGGGGCGGTGACTCGCTGCGCCTCAGAGGTTGCGAATTGCTGGTTGCGACATGATGCGATATACGCAAACTTGTAGTGGATGGCCTCCACCCTACTAGCGATGGCTTTCACCCTAGTAGCGATGGCCTCCAACCTACTAGAGATGGCCTCCAACCTAATAGCAATGGCCCCTGTGGCAAAATTGTAGTAGATGGTAGTATGGTGGTAGCTAACTAGATTCTCTTATGAGACATTCTTCCTTTATAGGATCGTCAAATGTTCCAAACATGTGGCAAATCACTCACGAAACGAATCTCGGAGATTCAGGTTCAGGCATCCGAGGAGACCTTAACTGAAACAACTCTCACTTTGGCATCTCTCACCTGCTAACAAAGGAGCAACCATCCAATAATTTACCTTGCGTGACAGCAGAAATAGCTGGTCCCGCGCCAATGAGTCAAAACGGGACCGAGAGAAATCAATGAAACAGGTGACCCCGCTCCAAAGATTTCTTTGGAAAGGGTCAAATCACAGCAGGTGCAAAAGGTTAGCATATTTCAACCCACGATACTAGGAACAAGAAGCTACTAGGGGTTCCTGGCCTTACTACTAGGAGCAAGGACGCTACTAGTATCTCCTGGC